CCAAGCAGAACATTGAATAATATTCCTCAGAAATATATGCAACAATTATTCAAGACTACCATCTGGTGCTGATCTGACTCATTGTAAACGCGTCCTAGTATTTGATACCCACGAGGCGTTAGGCATCTGCGTGATGAACACGAACTTCACCTGACTCGTAGGAAATGAACACTCCGAAACAAATTCATATTTCAAATGGAGTGGGAGTGGCTCATTCCCCGACTGGCGTTTTTTTAACTAGGTGGAAGCAAAATACTCACACTGGAATAAAATGGTAACAAAGAGGGAAAAACCCGACGTCAGTAACAATATAGTTGTTAGAATGAACTCATATTGATAACGGGAAGAGGAAAAAACAACTACTTTCCTGGCAATATGCCACGCAGAATATTGCATCACATCCTCCCGGAATCTCTATGCAACGATTCGTAAAGACGAATAAAACTTCAGAAGAGCTCAAAGCTCGAAACCGGTTTGAGCATTCACTTGCAGATGTATTCGTCTTTACGAATCGTTGCATATATATTTTGAGATTATATAATTCAATGTTCTGCGTGGCATATAGCCAGAAAAGTAGTTGTTTGCCTCTCGTCATCTACCATTTCCATTCATTTCATGTACTATTGTGATAATGACTTTGAGTTTCTCCCTCTTTGTGATGAAAACGCTACAGCAATAATTTTAATCGCAACTCTGAATGAGTTCACTCAAGTGAATGAAATTCTGTTCCAGTTCTTCGAAGTCTCTCGAGGAAAAAAGATTCGAACTTCTGCACGAAGTTTCAAAATGTCTCATAGGCCCAATAAACATAGGCACGTGAAAGAAATTCTGAATTCCTCAGGTGAGGCATCATCATTTGGCGTAGAGAAGCTGATACTATACAGGGTGAGGTAGATGAAAAATATTGAAGAGGTATATTGTGAAAAAAATACAAAAACTGGTCAACTTCCATTCTTAAGGTGGGAACAGACCGAGCAAACATTGTTGTGCAACAGTGGAACAACACTCGAGAAACACACAGGTTTGCACAGTGTGTACGTGTTGCACAACAGCTGTGCAGCTGTTGCAAAAGTGATGGTCGGTGATCGCTCCCAAGGCGGTACTTCAAAGGAGATGTGACCCAATAGTGTGCACATAGCATCTGCAGTGTAGACGCATCTTCTTCGTCGCTCATGATGCCTGACTGAACGAACACTGAACAAACACCGGAGAAAGCAGGCTGGTCGATGTTGCCCAACAGTTTGTCGAAAATGCTTTTTCCTCACGGAAACAAGTTAGCCAACAGTTGCCATCCTGTTGGTCAACTGTTGCGCAACAATGTTTGCTTGGTCTGTTCCCACCTTTAGGAGGCATCTTCCTATAATCACTCTGATTCTCCTTAGGTGTGTTGAATATGACACATCAATGATAATTTTATGCAGCATCAGTGTGGAGTGAAGAATGAAAAAAGAAACAGGTTGAATAGTTAATAGAATAGGATATTATACAAGGAAATGAAAATGGGGCTGTTCCTTTCGTCTGTCTCGTTTTCAATCCACCATTACTCTCGCAGAAATTGAAACACTGCAAGGGAAATAGAGTATTCCATCAGAATGCTCTGTTTCAATTCGCAATATTAATTCTTATATCACAGCAGGTTTTGTACAGAACATATAGCACGGAGGTCAGCAAGGGTGTGACCAAAAGCCTACAAGTTCAAGTTCAAGTATATTCCGTCATTTTTGATACAAATTGTATATGTAACACGTTGAAAACAAAATAACAAAATTACAAATAAAGTACTCATGAATAGTACAGCAAATACATCATATTGAGAAAGGTTCTCATTCTCTCTGGGGGAGTAAAAGCAACTTGTTAGAAGATATTCTCTGAGGAGCTTTTTAAATTTCACATGGTTTTTTTCTTCTTTGATGGTTTGGGGAAGTAAATCGACATATTTTATTACTGAGTAATTTGGGGATTTTTTATACCCGGAATAGTTACATTTGGTCAAATGGAAATCATTTCTGTTCCTTGTAAAATGATGAGATGGATTTCTTCAATCTGCATGATGAATACGGAATTCAAATGAACATAACTTAGCGTTTTATAAAGGTATATGCATGGTAGTGTGAGAATACGGTCATTTTCAAATGTTTCTTTGCAAGATTCTCTATATTTGACATCAAAAATGAGACGCAAAAAACATTTTTCCATAAATATCCATACTTATTTTGGAATATACCAATGCATAGTAAATGTCCAGTAGATTATGATTTGTGAAAAGTTTTTTTCAGTGTTGTGCATAGGTATTCAATATGTTTGTTGAAGGATAATTTACAATCCAGTTGTGTTCCAAGGAATTTTGTATAGTCTGATGATTTTAATCGCGGATCAATATGAAGTAGACGATAGTATTTGTTTAAAAATTTAATGTACGTTGTTTCATCCAAGTTGGTTACATCACCACCAGCGTAGATATGTGGAGAGCAGGGGTTATCAAAAAGGGCCCATCGGGGCCTACTTGCTTGGCTACAGCCTCCCCACCTACTACTACTACTACTACTACTACATCTACACCATACTTCAAATTCATCAATGACTGTTTTTATTTTATTATTCATCTCGTCTGGACTTCAGCAGGCCCAACTCTTGGATGCAATTTGAATTAACAGCTGCCTTCGAAGTAGTGAATAAAGCATCTAGTACGGATCAAGATGATAAAAAATGCGATCTTCCGCGGATTTAATCTTGGGACACTAGAAGAATTAACAAATGCGATTGACATCACGAATAGATACCTCATATACTTATTGAGAATTTGAGCAACACACAAAGAATAATACTTGACCATGATTCAACAACGGTATGGCCATTAGTCTCTTGTTTTTGGAAGGGTCAAGTCTTGTTAACTCACGGACACCATTTATGAAAAGCAGCTGACTTTGAACTCTAAGGAGTAGGATTCATTTGCCTAATCAGCATGCCAATTGATGCAGTTGAATAATTACCTAGTTTGAAAGAAGGCAATCAAATTGATCCGTTGAGGATTTGATATTGAGTCATTATAGCATGATGCACTGATGCGACAGTATTCACAAAATCGTACATTGATTGAAGTCGTTGAAGTCATCAAGGGTATGGCTCACAGTTTCTTGTTTTCAGCAGGCCCAAATCATGTTAACTCAATGCCACCATATGAATCAGCAGTTGGCTTCAAACTATCAGAACCACGATTCATTTGATCCAAACTCATGTGATAGTTATCACAAATAAATACCTACTCACCTATAAATTACAAATATTTAACCCAAGTGTACCAAGACCATATCGTATACCAAAAATACACAAACCCGGTAAACAAATGAGGCCAGTTGTATCCGCAATTGGGTCTCCTACTCACAATATTTCAAAGTGGTTGGTTGAAGTTTTCAAAACTTTGAATAATCCTTATAACAATCATTCTGTTTTGAATTCGCTTGAATTTATCGAGAAGGCCAAAGGGTTGAATCTGACCGAAGGTGAAATCCTTATATCATTTGATGTTTCATCACTTTTCCCAAGTGTACCCATACCAACTACTTTGGAATATTCAAAGGAATAACTCGAATATAACAACCTAGACCCAGATAATATTAAAGAATTGGTTGATCTCACTAACCTCTGCGTGAGCCAAAATATTTTTCAATATAAACAAGAATTTTTTGAACAACATGAAGGTACAGTTATGGTAAATTGTTCATCGCCTTTCCTGGCTGAACTGTTCATGAGTCGATTTGAAGCGAATGCAGAAGAAAAATTCGAGTTTTCCCCTAGGGTTTGGATGATGATGATGTCGATGATATTTTTGCTATTTTTGATACAAAAACCACAGATATAGATAACTTCATTTCAAAATTGAATAACTGCTTCCCCTTTATCAAATTCACTCATGAATGCGAAAATCATGGCAAATTATCTTTCTTAGATGTACTTGTGATCAAAAATAGCGAAAACAACTTAGAATTTGATGTTTTTAGAAAAGAAACTAACACATTTAGATGCATACCTAATGACTCCAATCACTGTTTTCAGCACAAAATGGCAAGTTTAAAATTTCTAGTACACAGATTGATTTCATTTCCTCTGAGCAAAGAAAGATTCAATGCTGAAAGAAGTGTTGTTTATAAAGTGGCTGGCGTCAATGGGTATGATATCAAAATATTAGATAAATTGATACGTAGACATAAATTCAAGTTAACAGTTCGATATTCTACGAATTTTCAAGTTCAAAAAGAATCCCAATACCGTTCGATCCTGAGTATACGAAGGGACTTGATAAGGTTTTCAATGACTTAGGTTTTGAAAGCGTTTATCAGTCTGGGTCGAAATTAGGCAATTTATCAGGCAATCCGAAACATGAAGTGGACACACTTGAAAAGTCGGGAATATACGAAATAAGTTGTAGGTTAGATAAATTTTGTGTAGCCGAACATATGATCAATCACAATCATAACACACATATTACTAACCTCAAATTGGTTAAGCAAGTTAATAACATTAGAAAACAAGACGCATATGAAAGCGTAGAGATATTTAAGAATAGTAATAGAGTGACGAATAAGGATAATGGACCTATTCCATATAGTTTAGTGAAATAAAAATTGAGATTAACATGTGAACTCAACCATGACAAACATTAACTTGACGGATAGTATTTTTCACAGTTGGGTGAACATATACCTAGTATATAAGCAGCACACTAGAATAGGATATTCAGTTTTAATCTTCTTCCGAAGATGCTAACATAGTTAGCGAAACACGTGTCGAGGCGTTAAAAAATCGGTTTGGTTAGTGGTAAAACAGTGTAGTGTATTATCGTGCCAAAGGTTCCAGTCTTCGATATACTTACAACGAATTCAAGCGTGCAATACAATATAATACTTTGCGGAGCTAAAATCAGCAAAGGTTTGGCCAACAGTCTTCTGTTTTCAGCAGACCCAACTCTTGTTGACTCTAGCTCGATTTATCAGTGTTCTTACCATTCAATACATGTACAGTTACGTTAGCCGGCCTTGCATTGGAAGGGTTACACTGATAGTTTCCGGAATCTGATGGCCTTGCCTTCTGGATGAGAAGGACACTCCGACTAGTTTCTCCACGTTCTGTAGATACGCTCACTCCACCTCTCGAACTAGTGTAGCTGATGATCTGGAGAAAAAACAAACATTACCCATCAGCTGTCCTGTCTCGTTTGATACTTATATTCGTGGTATTTCCAAAAGTGGAGAATCATATAGAACTGAAAATGAGTCAAACTTAATGTTATTCTGAGCATGTGGATGAAGATAACATCGTTCAACGTGATTTGTAACATGAGTAGTCAACCTGAGAACAGAATGAAGTGCGTTTAAAAGTTATTATAATGATTATAATACACGGTTACAACACAATGAAGAAGTTACCCGACATCAGAAATAATTGTGAATTCATTCTAGATACGTAATATTTGGAAGAACAGGGGTACGGTACCATACTGTTGTGTTCATTCCGCATAATATATTATCCAGTGATTTCTCATATTTTCTCTTGCTTGGACGTCGTAACTGGTTTAATAGTATACCCAAAATGAAGTTCATATTGACAATATTATGTTCATAGATGAAGAAACCCAAGGTTATCTCCACAAAATTCATTTGAAGGAGCAGAGATCCATCACGCAGTACATGTTTAGAGCATATATTATGAGCCCATCATCAGCCGATTACAAGATATCAGTTCTGGACATGAAAAAGCAGAAGGTTGACATTTGATAATGTAGACAATAAAATGGGGAAAAACCCAGACGTATGCACCATGATCGTCTATAATAAATAGGTTTTTTTTATATAAAAACATCAACAATCCAGAAATGGGTCAGGTGGTCGATTCTATAAGGGCTTCCCAACAACTCGACCCATGTCTGAATTCTCAATGTTTTTATAAAGAACATACCTATTTATTATATCCACACATGGTGCATACGTGTGGTTTTCGCCCGATTTCTTTATCAACATTATCAAATCGCAATATTTTGCTTCCTCAATTTCCATAACTGATATCTAATTAAAATCGGCTGATGATTGGCTCATATAAGCCCGAAACATGTACAGCGTGATGAAATGAATTTTGTGGAGATGACGTTCGGTCATTTTATCTGTGAACTACATCATTCAACTTTTAGGTTATAAGGACTCCTTCCAAAGATTAAACAATTTCATGTTATTGCTGATTATGGTTATCACTGCTTTGAGTGTCCTGTAACCTATATGAAGATGGACTTAGGATAGTCACTCGATTAGTTTACATATACAGTATGATGCAAATGTATGGAATAAATTTATTTCAAAACAAGACGACTTCCGAAAAAAATCCAAAAAGTAGAGTTCAGAACTTTTTTATAGATGTATTTTTTCAACTAGACGACCCTTCGATGTTCAATTCTCAGTAGGAGATCTCTGCAAGATTCAGTTAATCAAATGATAATCCATTTCAATTTCAATCTTCTTTTGCAAAATTTTGACTATTGGATAGACAATCAGTAGACCTTTCAAACGAGGTGTCACATGACCCCTGTTTGTATTTAAAAAAACCGTCCATTACGTCATTACTCCAACACCGGTGACGTAACATCTCTCATATGAATGTCATGAGATGAGGTTTCAAAAATTAAAACTAACGTGTTTTTGGAATTTCTTCAAATGACGCCCATTTCTGAAATAATGAATTTATTCCATACATTTGCATCATACTGTATGTTCATTGGTTGGCTGAGAGCCCTGCTAAACAGTATTAGGTATCTTGATGTTATGGTATGATGAGATGTTAAGAATGTTCGATTGTGTTCAAGATTCAAGCCTTTCAATTCCTTTCTCAGGCTAATAGAACTTAATCAATTCTAATACATTATCGAATAGGATTCTGGGAATTTCATCAAGAGAAATATGCCGTAGTAGTCTTGCCAGAATGACAGAATAACTTTTTCTCTGCTGTCAAAATTTCAACCAAAGCCTGTCGGTCTTGATGTAGTGCCTGTTATCATTGACAAATATTTGAAGTGAATATTCTTTTCACATGTCAAAATGTGACGTATTTGATATTGTTTCAGCCAATAGTACTGTGTAATTCTAGCCACTCACTTGGTATTATACTGATAGAATTGTATGGTCATTGATGAAACCTTGTTTACATTGAACTGTCAAAATCAATCTGACTTACCAGTTTCCACCATCTTGTTTCTTTCGATCTATCTCATGTGTTAGTAACAATAAAATCAATAATCATTTCTCGAGGAGACAAAACGTGTTGTTTTTGTTCGTCTTTCAATTTGAAAACACATCCTTCCATTTCATTGAAAGATTATATTATACACTTGTAGTCATCTCAAAGGTATGCCACACACATCACCTTTGGAACCATTTGATCAATCATAATATTTGAGGATTTGATAATAATTTTACTGGAGAAGTTTGTAGTGTCTTTTGTGGTGAGAAAATAATATTTTATAATCAACAACTCGTCCCTCAAATTGCATCCGATAACATCTCATTTTCCTCACTCAAACTATTTTATTTGAGGCAAGATTATTCAAACAAAACCGAATTAGATCCTAGATCCTACGGACTCTCAATTTTGTCACTTGGTTTGTTTTTTCAATATTGCCAAATTGAAGTTTGTTAAAAAAAGTATCAAGGAAAAATTCGAAGGACTCGTAGTATTATATCTTCTATAATATTCATCTCTGAGTACAGAAGTGTATTGTTTGCACTTTTTATACTCACAAACCCATTGCTAGTGTGTAGGTATTGTTTATTGTTGATGCAATAATCTCGAATTTCCGACACTTCTCGAGTTTCCATGTGTAACTAAGAGAACAAATATGTATATGTATTCGCGATATGTCATCAGGAAGAAAATGTATTGCTCTAGTAAACCGGAAGTGATATTCATTTGGTTTGTCATGAGGAACATAATGTTTAAGGAACTCTAATTGCAATCTACAATCCAAAGGTCGAAAGTAAAACACAGAAACAACTGGATGACGCCTCATGAAAATCTAGTGCAAGAACCTTGAATTTCCTTGAATGAGAACTCCTAGAAACTCGCCTGTTGATCCTTGATATCAGAAGCCATATTGACGATCTGAAATGGTGCCAGGATTGAGATAGTAGTTCTACATGAAAAATCCACTATTAAATCTATGACATTGATATACCCAATATCATAAAATCACCAAATAATATACCCTTTGTCTGCATAATATTTGTTCTTTCTGGTTCTATTCATTCATGGATGCAAACTCGTGTCATGAAACTTTAGTGTTGTTCAGGAACCTTATCAAACATGCTCATCCTAAGTGAGTGTAAATATTATACTGGGAGCACTTCAATATTTAATTCACTTCCAGGTATGCATCAAGGGGGAGCTTGTTGATATAAGTCTCGTTGATAAGGGGAATTTCGCGAAATGCTCGAGACATTAAGACAGGAATGCTGAATCCTTGTGTAAATGTGATGCGTATCGGTTTGGAATTCCAGTCCGTAAGAGAATACATCAATCTAGGTGTGAATCCGCTTTCGATAATTAGAAACATGTGTCTAGCTATTATCTTGCGTTGGGGTTTCATTTGCTATTCAATGGAATTTGTTATTCAAGGGAATTGCCATGGAAATGTTCGCAGTGGCATATTCAGTGTTGCTAAACACACTATAGCTAAGTACTAGGTAGCCAGGTAACCGCGTGATGAAAGCGTTATTTTTCTAATCGCAATGGCTTGTCGGTCGTTGGTTCAAAGCACAGAACTCATCATCTTCATATCTTACGACTAGAACGCGCGATTCTTTGGTTTCATAACAAATTCTGAACGTAACAGGGGCACTGAGATATGGGTCAAATTATATTAATCTCAGACTAATGTGTAGGTCTAGTGATACAGGAGAGGAGAAAAACTTTTGAAACGTAGGTCATGCATTTCATCGGTTTGATTACAAACAACGAGATGTTGTCCGTTTCATGAATTCCCAATTGTGGCAACTTGTTATTGAATTTATTCCCGAAAAGCCAAAAATATTATTATCAGGTTTTTGGTATTAATGATATTATCTTTGATTATTGTGATGAACTGATATGTTCAAGAATGTATAACTCCTTATTCAACATATAAGCGAAGGAAAAAGTTCTATAAGTACCTATCTGAATACTGTATCTGTACCTATATTACAAGAAATTTCTTGGAGGTTTATTGGATCCAATTACAAAGAATGGTCTTGGTATACAGTCAAACTTGAAATGGCCTCCATCTGAATATTTGTTCAATTATTACAGAGGATGGTTTTAATGTGACGAAATTCATCAGGGTGGGTTATGATGCATAACTCAAAAACGACATAATATCTTTACCTCCGCTTTTAGTTGAAGCTGTTGAAAACACTGTCCCAGAATTTCCAGAGGAGCATTAACATTGTCCCAACATAATGAATAATTCGTTTTTGATCCATCAGAAATTGATTCTGAGAGCTTTTCGAGAAGTTTCAATGAAAGCAGTATAAGGAAGAGACCATTAAAATTGGGGTATAATTGTATGTTTACCTCTATGAGTGATTTGTGGTCCTTTCATTGAGATACCCTATTTTTTTAAAAATACTGCAGTGAAACAATAAGGTTCCTGAAATGTGAATTCTATGAACAGTTTAATAAAATTATTAGTTTATATCGGCATAGCCTTTCAGTCTCTATTTGAAGTAGTAGAAGCCTCTTGAAATGAACTCAGTGATTTGCTACAGTGGATGCTATCGAGATATTAATTGTTCAAATCATGAAATATAAAAATTGGATTGAGATGTGTAAAAATAATGATATTATGTGGAATTTCCTAATTTTGAATATATTATATATTCGTGCAATGAATTTCTTTCTTTGAAACTAAGATCAGACATGAAGAATGCAAAAAGTGAGCAGCATATTTATTCACTTATCTGTAGCATTCGAATCATACAGTCATCTTCTGTTTCTTTGGAAAATTGAATAATGATACTTTCATCTTACCTCCCATATACGCCACTGGTGTGCATTTGAATTTCACCACAAATTTGCATGCTGCTACTGTTGGATGAAAAGTTCAGAATTTGTGGACAAACAATCAATATATTTGGCAGAAATGATAGAAGAAAACT